GGCTTCCCTGGTGACTCAGATGGTAAAGAATCTGCCCGAAATGCTGGAGACCCAGGTTTGATCCCTGGATCTGGAAAATCCCCTGGAGAATCAACGGCAACCCACTCCAGTGTTCTTACACAGAGAATTTCATGGACAGAGAAGCCTGGAAGGCTACAGGCCATGAGGCCACAAAGAGTTAGACACGATTGAGTGACTTACACTTTAGATGTGCCTTGTAGTCTCTCCTGAGTATGTGCCCTGTTTCCTCAATTTAACTGCAAGCTTTGAGAAGACAGAAACCAGCTATATAGTTTTCTAGTCCCTTCATCGTCCAGCAAAATATCTTATAAATCATTTTATATAGGTCAGCAATGAGATTTAAAACTAAAAGGCAATTTGGGGCTAAAGGACCTTGACTATAGTTTCCTGAGACTGTCCATGAACCTCTCTCCCGCTCTAGGATAACCCTGTAGTCCCCTGTGAGCTGTGTCAATGGGAATTCAAGGCTGCTGCCTACACCAATCAACAACAGTCAATCCAATCAAGCAGACAATTTGTCAAAGGCCTGAGACTATATGCACAAAGTAGTGCAAAAGAGATTCCAGTTAAGTTAAATAACTGATTATTTGCGTGAATTACAAACTATTTCTGAGTTTTAAAGGCATTTCTGGCTAACCAGGAAGTGTGTAATTTCTTTATCTCACCTAAGTTAAATTATGCAGAATAAAATTTATGCCTTCCTTCTTTAGCTCTTCTCATGTTTTAGTGACAGGCTAATTAGCATTTTCTGTATCTAAGAACTTACTGTCGCTGAACAACTCATCTGCAATAAGCTCAAAGGTCACTCAGAGTGAACTTAAAAACCTATGTCTTTTAAACATGCTTCCTGAGTTTTACTTCTCAATCTTTTAAAAAATATTTATTTATTTATTTGGCTGCACCAGATCTTAGTTGTAGCAGGCGGGATCTTTACTGGGGGTATGTGAACTCTTAGTTGCGGCATGTGGGATCTAGCTCCCTGACCAAGGATTGAACCTGGACCCCCTGGAGCTTGGAGCCTTAGCCACTGGACCACCAGGGAAGCCCCTGGGGACTGTCTGTATGTGATTAAATCTATATGCCCTTAGGTCATAGAAGCTGAAGGGGTTTGCGGAAGGTCCTCCTAGTAGATTCTTCCTCTCCCTGGTTTGGGACAGCAAACTTGGTCTTTTGATTTAAACCCTGCCAATGTGACATTCTCTCCAGGGATTATGAATGTTGAGTGAGCACTACCAGGATAAGTAAAGTTCACTGTTTTCATCATGGGCTTCTGCTTGCCTTTTTCTCCTTCTGTACCTTTCTGTGGTTCCTGCTTTTTAACTTCTAGCACCTTGGTTCCTACCCACTCCCAAGCTATTTGGTTGGCCTCTGTGTTACCCCAGTCCTTCCAGGAGTTTCCCTTTTGCATAGGGTCTCTCACTCAGGTTATCTTGCTTATAAGCAAAAGAATCATTAGGGATGCAGATACCTTCCTCTTTATCTCAGTGGAGAGAGGAAAAAGATCTGGGACTACATCATTAATTCAGGAGAGGGGAGATGTAGGGCTTCTGAGTTTGGCGAATAAGAGCTTACCCAGACGGCTCTTCTTGCTCCAGCAAAGAGGTAGGAGTTTGCAAAGCATCTCTCAACTGGCTGAGTTATACTTTGGTCTTAGGTGAGATTCTGAATTAATACCTTCTGTTAGAAAGCTGATGTCTGGCTTTCAGCCTCAAAACATACATCTCTGTCTGAAACCTCCTCTCAATTGGCATTTTTCTTTTTCTTACATGTTAATGCATTTTTCTTTTTCTTTTCTTATGTCTTCATGTACCAGTCCTGAAAATAGAGTGATTCAACTGCGTAAAGATAGCTGTACTTCTTAAAAATACCTTCTGGAGGAAAAAAGACTTTCTTATGAGTGGAATTTTTCCTCCAAAATTGTTCAGTCTGGGGGTTGTAGGGAGGGAAGTGAGCTCAACAGAGAAACCAAAATAGATACACAAGATTCCAGAGGAATCTAAAGACAATCCTTTGTTCCGAGTTGCCAGGCAACTGTTTCTCCAAGGATGCTGTCACTTTGATTTTATAGAATAATCAGGTGCCTGAATTTCTGCCTCAAGAAATTTTAGGATAATAATGAGTTCATCTTTTATGATTTAAAAAAGTTTAAAATGGAAGCCTCTCTCCTGCTTGGCACACCTATTTCACTCCTTTTTCTTTCAGTTACTTTGTTGCATGTCTTCAGAGCAAATAGGTTTTCATCTATTTGGGATTTTAAAATTTATTGAAGTATAGTTGATTGACAATGTTGTGTTAATTTCTGCTGCGTGNATCCAACCAGTCCACCCTAAAGGAAATCAGTCCTGAATATTCATTGGAAGGACTGATGTTGAAGCTGAAACTCCAATACTTTGGCCACCTGATGCAAAGAGCTGACTCCTTGGAAAAGACCCTGATGCTGGGAAAGATTGAGGGCAGGAGGAGAAGGGGACAACAGAGGATGAGATGGTTGGATGCCATCACCGACTCAATGGACATGGGTTTGGGTAGACTCCAGGAGTTGGTGATGGACAGGAAGGCCTGGCGTGTTGCAGTCCATGGGGTCGCAGAGTCAGACAGGACTGAGTGACTGAACTGAACTGAATCCATACGTTGGAGGTAGGCTTTGAGAACTTAAATATATTCAGTATCACACAAGATATTTGGAAAGTTTGTACAAGGTCACTGGGCTCTGCTCATTGTTCCCAGCGCTCTCTCAATGTTTCGTCGTCTGAGATTCCTCTTTGATACTTCTACTTTCACTTTATTGTAGTAATTAAATAAATAAATTCTAGTTGTTTTTTGGTTCTACTTTATCAGTGTACATCTGCAGGCACACAAGAATTTAGTCTAGCTGTACTGTGTTGTGAAAAAACTTGCAATTGGATCCTAAAATGACAGGCAGTGTAAATTATAAAGTACAAAACACTGTAGGTGAAAGCACTGTTAGCAATAAATAAAAATGGCTTTCTTTGGGAGGAAATAACTGGAAAGAGAATAGTCTGGGGGAGGAAATGATCCACACCATTAGGAAAGGAAGAGCCATATTTAGGAACGCATATGAGGGACAGGACATGTGAAACAAGTGAATTTTGGTCCTAGGCACTCCACCAAGGGTTCAAGTCACAGAGGGCAGTTAGGTTGCCTGAGCTTTGCCATTTCCTCTCCTGAAAGACACTGGACTTTTATTTCTCAAAAACCACTAACTCCGTTTTGCTAAGAGCATAACTTGTGTGCAGGGGCCTGTTCAGAAACTGGCTTTGCAAAGATGAAAAGAGCCCAGTTCCTGTCTCCAAGCGCTTCTGGGCCTCAAAACAGAACATCCTAATAGGTAGGTATAAAGGGCCCTATTACAAGATGAGAAGAACCTTGTGGAGGCCTCAGGTTTCCAGAGAGGAAATGAGCTCTGTGTGGTCCAAAAGGCAGACACTCTTGATAAGCTTTCTTATCTCCCAAAAAGAATAAATGATCATGTGAAAAATGAAACAAATAGATCGCCCAGAAAGGGAAGGATTGGGATGAAACTTTATACGGAAGTCTGAAATAAGTCCTCAGTATCTTCAGGAAAGAAGGGTGTAGAAGACCCAGGAGTGCTAAATGATCAAACGGAAAGTCCACCCAGCGGAGCGTCTTCCTCAGACTTGCACCTCAGGAAATGTTGACTGTTCTGGAACACCTACTTAGAGGAGCGGAGAGAGTCCACCCACTTGTATCAGATTTGAACATAACATGGGGAGAAGGCTACTTTCACGATTCTAAGCTCTTTTCTCTCTTCACCCCCTGTAGTTTCAGAGCTGTGTGAGGTGTACGGGCAGGAATTTTCTTTTGAAGAGAAGTAATAAAAGCATTTAAATTAGCGGGAGGGTGGTTAACACCCGCAGCTCTGGCCCCACAGCACGCCTCTTCGTCCGCCGTGGTTGACTCCACGCCTCCCCTAGGGATGGCGCAACAGCGCTAACGGCCGCCGAGTAGCAACGGTTCCCGCGCAGCGCGCGGCGGGCGTTACGCGGTCAGGACTCGCAGGCCAGCCGCAAGTTCAGAAGGGGCTGGGAGGAGGTGGGGGGACGAGGCCGTTCTGTGGGCAGCTTTTGACGAACGGTCCTTACAGCCAATTGGAAGCCTGGTCGACTTTTCCCTCTGCCAATAGGGAGCGAGGCCCAGACTGGGGAGGGGGGCGCTTCCCGCGGGCTGCGGCTGGATTCGATCCCGGGCGGCTGCCTTGAAGGCGGGGGCGGAGGCTCGGCCTGGGCGGTGAGGAGCGGATTAGGGGAGGAGGGAAGACCGGAAGCCACGGTCGCGTCCCCATCCTTAGATTCGCTCCTCCGGGCTGGGAGCGGAGACGCAGGAGGAGGGAGAGGCTGGATGTCGGCCCCGTGATAAAGGGGAGCGGCTGCTCCGGAGCCTCTTCCCGGGGTGCCTCCCCATCCCGCCAACCCTCCGTAGCCACCCGGCTCCAGGGCGCGGGGCCCCCGCGGACTGCTTGTCCGCGCAGATCTTTGCTGGAGAGGCGCTGCCGGTGACTGGGACTGGCCGGCGGCGTCCGAGGCCCGCACCCCGCCGCCACCCCCACCGGCCTGCCGGCCGGTCCCTCTGGCCGCCGCCATGTCCTCCTCCTCATCCTCCCCCAGGGAGACGTACGAGGAGGACCGGGATTACGAGAGCCAGGCCAAGCGCCTCAAGACCGAGGAGGGGGAGATCGATTACTCGGCCGAGGAAGGCGAGAACCGCCGGGAAGCGACGCCCCGGGGCGGGGGCGATGGCGGCGGCGGCCGGAGCTTCTCACAGCCGGTAACAAAGCGTGGCGGCCCGTCAGCTGAGTCTGGTGGCTCCCTGGGAAGCAAGGCTCCGCGGCTGGGACTCGGCCCCGGGGCCTCTCGCCCTCCTCGTTTTCCTTTTTTGCGGCGCTGACCAGGTTGGGAAGCGCCTACTCTTTTCTTTCGGGCTTTTATTCTTCGCCCTACCTGTTTCCAGCATCCCGATCGCGAGTCCGGCCCCGGCCTGGCCGCAGGCCCCGCTGCGAGTCCATTGCCGGCCCTGAACTTAGGGAGGGTCGCGGGCGGGGGGCGGCGCGAGGCGTTGCTTCCGTTCCGAGGGGGCTCTGGTGCGCGATTAGCCCTTTGTTAGTTTAACTCCTCAGGCTGTTGACGGGCGTCGGACAACCCGTTCACTTCAGCCCCTAGCCCCCAGCCCGCAGCATCCACGCGCTGGTCTAGATCGCAGGATGGTGGCGTCGGTTCCGCCCAGGGATCTCTACGCCTAGGTGCTGAGGAGAGCCTCGGCTCAGTGACAGATTACGCTGTGGGGCTCACAACCCAGTTCCCCTCAAGGTTTAATTAAAATTTTATTCTTGCTAGGCCTGGCGCGCATGCTTTGCTCCCGAGTTTCATGGCTATTGCTCAGTACAGTTTTCGGCTCTTCGATTAAAAATAAAATGTGTTGGCAGGTGTTCGCGTACCGCTACTTTAAAAGGAATCTTAAATCTCAGTTTTTCCTGGGCAGTTTGTTTCCAATTTGTTCCATAAAACTGAACTCAGAACTGCATCAGACACACGTTCCGACATTCTTGTTTTTCCGCGTCAAAAAGCTTAGATAGAGTCAGAAGGAATGTGAAAGTCGTTTCATCCGCATCAAGTGGTAACTCAACTTCAGTTGAATGGAAACTTTAAGGACGTGAAGCAAAGCAAAAGTTTTTTGCCATTTTTGGTGCACTTAAGCTGTCTTTATGACTTATGTGTCTTTAAACATGAAACATTCTAACTGATTAAAGAAAAACTATACATGAAATTTTCGAAGTTGCATATATGTTCTAATATCAGATTAAAGTGTTTTTCACCTTTTATAAGGCAAATTAGAAGTCAGAAGTCTTTCAGCTCTTGTTTGCATTTTAACATAAATTCTGGTGAGTAGAATTTAGAGTTTACAAAGAGGATAATGTTGCAAGACATTTAAAAAAGGAACTTTTTATTCCTCTAAATAGTTTTCTTATGGCTAGATACTGCTTTCAACTTCTGTGCTTAGCTATTTGGAATATTCAAAGTGTAACTTGGAAGTGTGAATAAAAGAAGTGCATTTCTTCTTAGGAAGTTTCAGTTCAAAGTCAACTCCATCGTGGAAACTGAAAACAGGAATGTTGGAATATTATAACTGATATTTAGATGCATTGAATCAGCATATTCTTTTGCCAAAAGTCTTGGTTGAGTTCTTGTGCGGTGGCGTGAAATGTCTCATTGAGTGTCTTGGAAAGATACTTTAACCAGTTTACGAAAAATTGTTGTTGAAAACAGATTAAATATTAAGCCAATACTATTATTTTAGATGTTGGGAAGAAAATAATGTATTATTAATACATTCAAAATAAATTGTATTTAGTAGTGGAAATAGCTCTGGGCAGGGCTTGGGGAGTCAGAAATCTTAGCTAGTATACAATGTGTGACCTTGGTAAAGTCAGTTAACTACTATCCTGAGTTCTCTTTATAAAATGTTAAAGTTGAAAAAAAAAAATGTGAAAGTTGAACTTTGTGCTTTTCATACCTGAAGTTGTAATTCAGTGGTTGATCTAATGCAGCTTTTAAACTACCCAGGCAGGAACTAATGTATGTAGATTGAGTTATAAATTCAAATTTTAACTGCTTTTTTTTTCTTAGGAGAGCGTGAATTGCTTTTATTTAATAGTAGAGCCAATATTGCACTGTTGAATCTAATGAAGGATTATTTTTCCTGTTCTTAAACATTTTTCTTCATGTAATTTTGGATACTATTTTGAAATCATTGCGGCTGTGGAAACCTGTATATAATAAAATTTTACTAGGACAGGAATGCCCTGAATAGAAATTTATTGTCTAGTGCATCATCATTCAGAAATATGGTAATTCATCTAACTGAGAAGGGTTTGACTGCACCTCAGCCTAGCCCCAGAAGCCTTCGTGATCAAACTGTTTAGGTAAATGCAGATTAGGTCCAATGATGGGTAACCTTTTCAACACTAGCTGGAAGATTGTAAAAGTGTGCAGTAAGACTTCAGAGATTTACATTGTTCGGCTTTTCATGGGTTTTCTTGATTCTTTAATAATAACTAGGTTTAAAGAGGATGTATTTGAGGAAAAGTTTATGCAAATGCTCCTGATTTAAAGATGAATTAGTCATTGTAAATTATGTTTTTAAGGTGTAAAAAGAAATAAGTTTGTAGTTTGGATATGAGAAATTAAGACACACTTCAGATTTGTGTCTTTTGGTGCTTTGAAGATCGAAAACTCCCAAAGTGTTTTGCATTCTTTGGACTACATTTTGAATAAAGCTTATGGAAGTTCATGCTGTGTATTATGCAGTTACTTTATTCTTGTGGAGTAAATTGTGTTCTTAAATTTAGCAGGTATGACCTTCAAGATCACATTAATAGTAAATATCTTTATCTGCTTCAGTTCAGTTCAGTTGCTCAGTCGTGTCCAACTCTTTGCGACTCCATGAACTGCAGCACGCCATGCCTGCCTGTCCATCACCAACTCCAGGAGTTTACTCAAGCTCATGTCCATTGAGCCAGTGATGCCATCCAGCCATCTCATCCTCTGTTGTCCCTTTCTCCTCCTGCCCTCAGTCTTTCCCAGCATCAGGGTCTTTTCAAATGAGTCAGTTCTTCGCATCATGTGGCCAAAGTGTTGGAGTTTCAGCTTCCGCATCAGTCCTTCCAATGAATATTCAGGACTGATTTCCTTTAGGATGGACTGGTTGGATCTCCTTGCAGTCCAAGGGACTCTCAAGAGTCTTCTCCAACACCACAGTTCAAAAGCATCAATTCTTTGGTGCTCAGCTTTCTTCATAGTCCAACTCTCACATCCATACATGACTACTGGAAAAACCATAGCTTTGACTAGATGGACCTTTGTTGGCAAAGTAATGTCTCTGCTTTTTAATATGCTGTCTAGGTTGGTGATAACTTTTCTTCCAAGGAGCAAGTGTGTTTTAATTTCATGGCTGCAGTCACCATCTCTAGTGATTTTGGAGCCCCCAAAAAAACTTTTCAGAAAGCAGCTTGATTTCAGAATGTTAGCTCTTCGCTTGGCAAAACCAGCTGAAGAATTGAATTGGGAGGTTAGTTAGAAAAAATTCTGGTTTTATAAAGATTGATATCAATAAAAATTTATGGAGTATTAATTTACTTTAGAGACTTTTAAGTTTTTCTTTATTCTGCTAGTGACTAAAAAGACAAATCAAAAATTGTTAAAGTGATTGGTGATAAGGTGAAAGTTAAAGATTCTCAACTTTTAATAAATAGATCTGTAAGATGGTAAAATGATGAGATAAAAATAAGGATCCAGGATTTCCAAACAGACTATTCTGTTTGCCTTACATAGAGAATCTCATTTGAATTTAAGACACACTATTATATTAAGCTTTAATGATCTGAATTACAGTGATGATAGGACTACTGTGATGGCTTATTGGGATGAATATAGAATGGGACATGGGATGAAGTCACTTTGTTAGCTCCCACAGGAAGAGTTTAGACTGTGACAGTGAGCGTAGTAATTACACTCTGGAGAATAAAAAGTTCAAGGATGTGTACCTCAGAGGTAAGTGCCAGAGCCTCGAGGCTTCTGTAACAGTAATGTCCTGTGTCTTATTTAGCTAAGCTGCTGCAGTAGAGTGAGAATTTTAGGTTTAGTTTTGGGAAGTAAATGAAAAGTAAAAGTAGTAGGTTCTGGGACTTCCCTGGTGGTCCAGTGGCTTGTGCTTACACCGCAGGGAGCTGGGGTTCAATCCGTGGTCAGGGAACTAAAATCCTGTGTGTCAGGCAGCAGAGCACCCCCCCCCCCAAAAAAATTAGTAGGTTTTACTGCCTTTTGGTTTTAACAAATGACTGTTTTTTCATGTTAGTACATAAAAGTGAAAAGTGTTGTTAAGAGAGCCGTAAGCCCAACCAAAGCAGGTGTCTTGGCTCTGCTACCAGCATGCTTTGTGACTTAATCTCTTTGGAACTTGACTTGCTACCTATCACATGAGATGGTTGGATTAGATGATCACTGGGATCTCTTAGCTCATTAAAAAAATAATATTTGAGCCCTGTCATGTGCTAGGTGCTGTCCTTGGTGTTGGGGCTGTAATAGTTAAAAAAATTCCACACTTAAAACTGTGTGATTCTACATCATTTAGCACTTTATTTTCCCTCTGTGAAATGGAATACAACTTTCAAAGTTTGCAGTTGCAGCCACAGCACCAACTCAGGTGAGCTTAAACAAAACAAAAAGGGGGCAGGTATAGGGGATTTATTGGTCCATATAAATATGAATGCCAAGTTGTGGCACTAGTTTTAGGCATTTCATGATCTAGGGATTTAGATGGAAGTCATAGGAACTAGATTCTGTCTCTTTCCATGTTTCAGCTCTGTAACTCTGCGATCCCATAAACTGTAGCCTACCAGGCTCCTCCGTGGCATTTTCCAGGCAGGAGTACTGGAGTGGGTTGCCATTTCCTTCTCCAGGGGATCTTCCCGACCCGGGAATCAAACCAGGTCTCCTGCATTGCAGGCAGACGCTTTACTCTCTGAGCTACCAGGGAAGACCTTATTTCCTCTATGGAGTAATAAAGTTAGGCCTACATTGTTTTTGCTAGCAAATAAAGAGAACACAGTCTGTCCCTCAGTGTAACTATCCCCTCTGATAAGCCATTTTTTTAGTATCTCCCTACTCCCGATGAGTCACTGGACTACTACTGGAGTTGGGAGGTTACAACTGTGAGTGAGAATAATGTGGGACTGAGGTGTTTTGTTTGCTTGTTTTTGTGTTTAACCAGAAGGAGGAGAAGAGAGTTTTGGGTAGACAAAACCATAGGATTTCTACCACATGAGCAAAAAGGTAGATTATTTTTTACAAAGTTATTTGACTTATATGACTCTTCATTTTTAATCTTCGTTCTATGATCAGATGTACCTTAAACTTTGAGTAGGAAAATTAAAGGACTTCCCGTATTTGGGATCTGCTCTACTGTAAGGAAAGAAAAGACCGAGTGATGTGATTGACTTGAGGACCATGTACTAGTTAACTCCAATACTTGCCTCTGTCCCTTGAAACTAGTTGGTCCTTCACCTATGTGAAGTATCCAGAGTAAAAGGGGGGCATAATCTTAAATATCTGTGCTCATTTCTTGGTACTATTTTGATAGATTCTAATGTATCCAGAAAATAATTACCAGAATAGAAAAGGTACTCAAGATCATAATCATAAGAGGAATGACAAGAATCTGGGGGATATTTAGCCTGAAAGGTAAACTTCAGAAAATTTCTGTGATTTCAGAAATCATTACAAATAGAAATGTTATGTAAAAGAGGGAAATGAAGATAAGGATGGGGGTGGCAGTGGTTAATATTTATTGAACTTTTGTTCAGTAACTACATCTGGCACCGTGCTCAACATTTTGTACTTGTCCTTTTTATTTGTTGTAATTTTAAGTGATGAGGATTTTGTTCTCTTATTTTTTTACAAGTGAAACAGGTTCAGAAGGGTTAAGTAAGTAGTGTAAGATCACAAAGTGTGTAAATGTCCAAAGATTCAAACACTGCTCTGACTTTTTTGTATAGGACCATTTTGTATCTGACCATTTTGTATAGGAAGTTACAGGGAGACAGATTTAGATGCATCTTATGAAGAACTTTCTAAAAATGTTAATAGTCTCACAAGGTTTTTCCCTGTCATTGAGGGTGTTTAAGGAGAGACTTATAATCATCACTTGCAGTGGTTCTCTGCACATTTGGTTTTGGAGGATGAATTACTCAATTTGAGATTGTTCATTTTTAATCCTATATAGGAGGACAGAATGTGTTTGGTGTTGCGCATGTGTTATGCATGGAAATGTTGGGAAAGCAAAAAAGCCTGAAGACATTGTGCATTGCCTTTATGAGTTTACAGTTTCACTGTATCGAGAAATGTTAGTGGACCCTTCTCATTTCTCTCATTAGGGAAGCTGCATTTGTACTCTACAGAGCTTCCCTTCTCTTTAGTTGAGCCTGGTTTTCAATCAGAAATAGTCAAAATTAGCACTCAAGGTTGATATTATTGGAGTTTGTCTTTGAGGTAGCCTTTGAAGAGGGGCTCGGTGTTTGTAACTGGTCTGTAGCTTGCCGTGAGGACCAAAAAATGCCTCCATTATAGTTCACACAGTTTACCTAAAGAAGGGATTGAGTGATTAAAACAGAAAACAAGCACATGTAAATTGAAGGCATGCCTCCATTTGCTGGGTTCTTATTTAGAATATTGTTTCTAGTCTAATAAATAGTAGATATAAATAGACCAGGAGAGAGCCTAGATAACTAAACATTTGAAGTGGACAGAATGAACTTCTATATGAGAAACTCTTTAAGCTTTAGAAGACATAGTCAAAGTACTAATATGTGGATGGGGTAAACAGTACTGACTTATTCACCAATTTAAGATTCAGATGCATAGTATGATGCTTAAAGGAGGTATTTTTAGGGTAGCAAAAGAATGTCTGAAGATGATTTCAGATTTCTTATCATCAGTATAAAGTGTTGATTTAAGAAAAAATGTTAGTATTTGGGAGGGAAATGAGGGGTATAGTGAAAATATAGTTTGAAAAGATATCTTTAATACATCAGTTTTATATTTGGAAACAACCCTAGGGTTTTTTGTTTGTTTGTTTTCTTTTTTAAATAAAGTACAGAAAGGATGAGAAAATTTTAAGTTCAAGAAAAGGGTACTAATTTAGAGAAATGTCAAGGTAGGTAAACTCATGAAAGGCAGAGTCATTGATGGGAATAAGGGACATATATAGGGGTTATGGGATATGTTCTCAGCCTTGAGGTGGGATAATCATATCTGCCTCTAAATACCATATGGATTGCATTTAACATCTTTCATATTTTAAAGAATGACTTAAGTTTTCATCTGTTTCATTTAGGAAATATAAGTATATAATAATAAAATCAGATCTTCTGAGAGATTTAAAAAGTGGTCCTATAGTCCATTTCTTTGTAAGAAGACCAGTTTGAAAAATACTCATTTTTTTATAAGTTTATTTTCCAGATACTCATTATCTATGTTGGGAAGGGAGGTAGGAAGAAGAGATGTGTTCTACTGATTGGGCAGTGTTACTAAAGTAGGTGTTGAATTAATGAACGTTTTTTATATTGTTCTTCATACTTTTTTGTAGGTCTTAAATGTCGTTCAGTCATGTCTGACTCTTTTGCAACCCCTTGGACTGGAGCCTAGCAAGCTCCTCTGTCCGTGCGATTTCCTAGGCAATAATATTGGAGTGGGCTGCCATTTCTTTTTCCAGGCGATCTTACCCACCCAGGGACCGAACCCATGTCTCCTGCAACAGAACGTGAATTCTTTACCACTGAGCCACCTGGGAATACAACAATTTCCCAACTTTTAAAAAAGTGTAAAATGTTTAATTCCATATGTCCTTCCTCTAGATTCAGCAGTTTTTAGCATTTTACCCTTCGGGATTTTATCTCTATATACATACTT